AAGGGCATGAACCTGGTTGCAGTTTGTTCTCTGTCCTGGTCAGGGCACATGCTGGATGCAACCAATCAATGTGTCTCTCTCACATTGGTGTTCTCTCTCTCTCTCTCTCTCCACCCCTCCTTCTTTTCTACTCTATCTAAAAGCAACGGAAAAATATCAGGTGAAGAGTAATACAAAAACAAAACAAACAAAACTATTCTTTAAAAAAAAAAAAGGAAGGAAATTTTGATATATGCTACCAATATGAATGGACTTTGAAAACATTATACTAAGTGAAATGAGCCAAACATGTGGCTCAGTGGTTGAGTGTCAACCCATGAACCAGGAAGTCATGGTTAGATTCCAGATCAGGGCATATTCCTGGGTTGTGAGCTCGGTCCCCTATAGAGGATGTGCAGGAAAGAGGCAGCCGATCAATGATTCTCTTTCATCATTGATGTTTCTCTCTCTCCTTCTCCCTTCCTCTCTCTGTAACCAATAACATATTAAGGGAAAAAAAAGAAATGAGCCAACCATAGAAGAAATAATGCAAGAATCCATTTACATAATTTGCCTAGAATAGGCTAATTCGTAGAGACTGAAAATGGAATAGAATTTACCAGGGGCTGAGGAGGAGAGGATGGGGAGCTATTATTTAATGTATACAGGATTTGCATTAAAGTTTTGGGTAAAGACAGTGATGGTGATTACACGACATTGTGAATGTATTTAATGCCATGGAATTATCCATGTTACATACAGCTAAAGTGATAAGTATTAGGTATGTTTTAACACATGAAAAATATCAGTGTTTTAAAATGTTAGGTATATTTGTGTGGATCTGTTTCTGCGTCCTCTCTCTGGTTACTGATCTATGTGTTTATCCACACTCCTGATTACTGTAGCTGTCTTTTAGGCCTTTATATTAGAGACAGTGAGTCCTCCCACTTTATTCATCTTTTTCAAAATGGAGCTGTTCTAGGGCCTGGGCCTGGCAGTTTTGGAGCTCCTCTCAGGCTCCCTTGTGTGGAAAATGGCACTATGGTTTACCCAGCTTCAGAGTCACCCTTGGCACCTGCCTTGTCCTCAGTCCCCTCATCAACGAGCCTTTTTCTTGGCAGACATAGCTCTGTCTGTCCTCCTCTCTTCATGTCCAACCATCCTGGCTACCTTCATCAGTTGCTGGAGCAGTGATGCGCTCTTGTCACTTGTCCTCACACCTCTCTGGCCCCCTTAGTTCCGTCCTCCACAGACAAGGCAGCCAGAGTTACGTCTTCCAAATGCAGGCCCTCTGGCTCACCCATGGCCTGGCTCCACCACACCCCTGTCCCTCCAGCCTGTGAGTCTCAGCTGAATTTCACATTTAATTTGTGTGATTTTTGACTCTAAGCCCCACAGGGCAAGGACCATGCTGCACCCCCTCCCCAGCCTGTGCAGCACATGGTGGACACACATTGGACTTCTATTGGTGGAACCCATGAATGTGGGAAGGAAGCTGCATGCTGCTGGAGCTGATGACTGGAGGAGGAGTGTGTTGAGAAATGAGACCGAGAGGTGGCAAGAGCCTGGGGAACCTGGGGAGGAGGTAGCTTTAGCTGTGCTGGCCACAGTAAGTAAGGTGAGGGACATCAGGTTTACAGAGCTCTCCCTGACCATGCAGAGAAATAGGCAATGACTTAGAAGAGATACTCAGCAGAAAAGGAATTCTGACTCTTGTGAAAGGATGTGCAGCCTGCTAAGCAGAAAAAAGCAGATGACAACTAGGCTGAGGGGACAACTTCACCTATCTGACTGGCAAGGAGTTTGACAATCCCATGGGCTGTGAGGCCCTCACACTGGACAACTTGGCAGTGCTGAGCTTTGCCTGCAGTTCCACTTCTAGACATTTGACCCACAGGCACACCTGTGAAATGACATCTGTACGTGGTTGTCATTGCTGCACTGTTTGTAAGAGCTCAAGGCTGGAAACCACCAAGGCTGGAAACCACCGGTGGTGACTGGTTCAAGGCACCTTGGCCCTTCCATGCAGGGCTGCGCTTTGCGGAGATCAAGGCATGGAAAGACTAAGATATACTGTATGTATTTTTTCTATTAAGTTATAATAAGGTTTTTATTAATAAACAAAATAGATAAACTATAAATAACATAAGTAAATATGATAACATTTAAAAATAATATAAATTGTTAGTATACATGCTGGAAAGTGAATAAAGCATAAAGACATAGCATAACCAATTATTATAAAGGGAAGACCTACATAGCCCCTGCCTCCCCAGGCCCTCCCGCCCCAGTGGCAGCCCCTTCCTTGACTTTTGAGGCAGTCACGGCCTTGCTTTTCTCTTTGGTTTTACCCCCTCTGTATAGGTCCCTAAACAGTGTATTTCATTTTGTATGGTTTCAGACTTTTTCTGGACAAAATCCTAGGATGTGTTTTATGTCTCACTTGTTTTGTTAGCATCATTTTGCTATTCGTGCACATGCAGCTATGGTCATTCCTTGTCACTCTTGTGTACTATTCCGTGCAGCCAGTAGATCACACTTGATTATCCATTTCCTGTGGATGAGCATTTGCATTGTTTCCAGTCTCCGGCAGATTCAGATTGTGCTTCTTGAACCTTCCCATACGTGTCCCTGGAGCCCAAGGGCCAAATTTGCGTGGTAGCTCCCAGGGGAGCGCTGGCCAGGTCCCAAGTGTGTGTCTTCACCTTTACTAGATGCTGCCAAACTCCTCCTGGTGCCAGCAGCATAGGAGAACCAAGAAATGTTCTTGAAAAAAGCAGGTGCAGAATAGTCTATGTGGTATGCTGCCATTTAAAGAGTGTGTCAGTGTAAGTGTGTACCCGCATACATACATGCATTTGTAGGCTCTCTCAGAAAGGACAAAAAACCCACTAGAGGTTGTTTCCAGGGCCAAGCTAGGACAGGGCAGGAGGCCATCCTGTCACTGCTTACCCTCTGGTGCCATTGGCTTTTGAACCATGTGTCTGCATTATAAAGAGACAGACACTGAGATGGAAAGAAAGGGCAGAGATGAAGCCCAAATGTGGCAGAATGTTAATAGTTGGGAATCTGAGTAGTAGATTTTATGGGGGTTCACTGGTTTAGTCTCTATTTTGAGGTATGTTTAAAAAGTTTATAATAAAATCTGTTCCAGTGTGAGAGGATCTTTGATGACCTCTCCTGGCCCCTGAGGCCTATCACCAGGAGAACCTCTTGTTTCCAATGAGACTTCTAGAGGCTTGGTGCACCCTCCTTCCTCCCTTCCCCTTCTCTCCTCTGTGCCTCCCCTTAGGAACTCTCCCCTTTGCTGGCCACTACTTGCTTCCTCCACCAGAGCCCAAACCAGCCTATCCAGTTTGGGGAGGTTAGAGGAGCCGCCTCCCTTGGCTCATGTCTGGGTGGCTGCCTGACAGGTGCTCCACCCTGGTGGGGGAGGGAGTGGCCTGGGATCTGGGACTTCTGGGATCCCCTGCCTACCCTGCTGTAGCCCTGGGAGCCTCTGGCTTACTGAACAGGTGATGGACAGGAGGGGGTTGGAGGGATCTCCAGGCCCTCCTGGTCTGAGTGATGGGAGTCCTGTGGGAGTTGGCCACTGTAGGGGAATGGGAATGACTCAGGTTTCTGTCCCCCTGTCTGCCTGGGCTGCTCACTGTTCTCACTGGGCTCACCAGCAACTGGGCATCTGTCCTGGACCCAGCCACCTACTCGAACCCGTTCCCTGTCACTCACAGGACCCTTCAGTGAGGAAGCCCAGGGCAGGGAGTTTTGTCTAGTTTGTTCATTGCCGAGTTCTCAGGGCCTCCAACAGGCCTGCCTGGTATGTGCTAGGAGCTCAGCCCATGTGTGAACCAGTGGGGGAGACAGACATTCAGAGACAGTGACAGCCGGGAGTGGTAGCACTGGGATAAGGCCCAGAGGGGGCACCTGACCCAGCCTAGCGTGTCAGGAGGGCATCCTGCAGGAGCAGCCTGTGGTAGGCTCCAAAGGATGAACAGGGATGAACCTAATAGCCGACCCCTGCCCCTAAGTCCTCTATCATGGGTGAGACAGACAGAAACAAATTGCACACCAGGAACTCTGACCTGGGCCAGCGAAGGCTTTGTGGAGGAAGCGAGATCTAAGGGCAACAGGTGTGAGGTAGGGCAGCACGGCCCCTTCTTAATCCCCCTGAGTGTCTTTTTCTCCTGTTCTGGAATGGGGTTCTGAACAAGTTAGCCTGCTGCTCAGAAAAGCTGGTTTAGGGCACAGGCACTGGGACAGGTGGCAGGCACCCAACTTCCCTGCCTCAGTTTCCTCTTATGTAAATGGGCCAGATAAAGTACTTGTCCATTGAAGGCAGCAGTGTGTCAAGGCTAAGAGTAGAGCCACTTATTTTCAGGAGGGTTAGTCACATCCTGGAAGACAGAGCCAGCATGGCACAGCCCTTTCTTTCTCTCTCCCCATTCCCACCATCCATATCTCCCAGCCCTACACCTAGAGATGGCGATGTGGGGGTTTCACCATGAACTGGATCTTCCCCTTCTGGTTAAGCTGCAAGTCTCAGGCCCATCCTCATGCATGAGTGGGGCAGAGCTAGAGAGGCTACCTTCGTTGTCTTTTCTAGAAGCTCTTGCTGGACTCAGCCTGGAAGTGGGGGGAGCAGAGAATACATCCAGCCCCAGATCTCCAGCCACCCCTCCATATCAGAGCCCCATCCCTCTGTCCTGCCCCCAGCCTGGATCATTGTTTCAAACCTAGCTGCCCGCCAGCTGCTCTTAGGCACTATGCAGCACTGCTTGCTTCCCTAACCCCTGGCATCTAGCCTACCATGGGGAACGAGGTGGGGGTGTGGGAGTGCTAGTGGGGTACTGGCCCTCTGAAGCAAGGGCTGTGGTTGGAGTCTCCTCTGCCTGTGTCCCTGCCTAGCCCCTCCCTCTGCCGGCCATTGTGGTGATGGTGATGTGGCCCAGGCTCTCCAGACTCAGCTCCGCCTCCCTCTATCTCTCCCTCCCATTCTCCCCCTCCCTCCTCCTGTGGGCTGGAGCCACAGGGAGCTCAACTTCTGCCAGGGCAGGGCAGCGTCACCACCCACTGCCAGGGAGGCTGGGGCACAAAGCCCAGCCAGCTCTCCTTGGTGGGTGCGTGTGTCAGAGAGCCAGGGGAGCCCCCTTGGTACCTGCTCCCTGCTCTCCCAGCTGGAAGCCTCTGTCTGTGGCTCACCCCAATGAGGGTGGCCCAGGACCCAGGGAAGAGGATGAAGGAGGTGAGCTGGCCCTGGCCTCAGGCAGGAGGGGAGGATAAGGAAGGGCTGCGCTGGGTGTGAAGAGGGTAGTCCTGCTGCCTGGTCACCTGAGCCAGTGTGAGCATGTGATCAAGGGGCCACACCTTTACTGGGCCCAGGAGCAGGGTTCCTGTGTTGGTGGCAGGTGTCTTTGCTGGGTCTTACCACATGTCTCAGTTCAGGCCCCTGAGCATGTCAGTGGGAGTGCCTTCCTGGGGTCTGGTTTGCATGGGGTGGCTCTGAGGGGCTGTGCCTCTCTAGGTGACTGACCCTGGAGTTGGCCGTGGCTGTGCCTGGGTCTGCCATGGGGACTCATTGCATAGTGTGTGTGGATCTGGGCTTGTGTGGGTCTGTGGTCTAACTCTGTCTTGGGGAATGTTCCTGGTGTGTGTATGGGGTCCTGGGTCTACCTTTCTAGGGAAGTCCAGCATTATGATGCATCTGTGGAATTGTGTGTGTGCATGCATGCGCCTGTGTTTCTGGCTGGTGGCCCAGGTCTGTATCGTGTGTGCCACTGGCATGTGTCTGTGGGTCTCTTTCAGGAATGCCTGCACCTCTGGGATGTGTGTGGGTCTTTATAGTGGGTTTGGAGGGGTCCTGGGTGCATGGGTGCTTCAGGGACCTGGCTGTGACTGTCCTAGTGTCTGACCCTTCCATGCTGAGAGCTTCCTCTGAGCCAGCCCCACTTTAAGACTGCTTCCCCCACCTTCTCCCATGATGCCTCACATTTCCTTTGGACTTGCTCTGTGGGTGCCCATATCCGAGAGGCAGGAGCTGAGGCTCAGGGTGTGATGTCCCTTCCCATGCTCAGGCTCTACAGCCGCTGCCTCTGTGGAGTTGGCATGACTGCTGCTGGCTCTGGCTGCTCAGGGAGTTTTCTGTACGACCATGGTGTGTGTTCCTGTGCGTCTATGGTTGTGTAGCTGGATGTTTATGCTGAGTCTGTGATATGGTCTCTGTGGATGACTGTGCTTCTGTGTCTAGGGAGTGTGTGTGTGTCCGGGAGTTGCATGGCAGGAGAGGGCTTGAGTTCCGGGGACCTGGGAGGACTCCAGAGCCTCTTTTCTGCCTGTACCCTCTCCCTCCTTCCTGCCCTGCCTTAGGGAAGAATGAATGAAGTCTAATCTGATTTCCCCGTCCCTGCGGACTCACCCACACTCAGGTTTGCTGTGGCATTCATTCCCACCCTGGGCACCTCTGGAGGGAGAGGGATACCAACAGAGCCCTTTGTGTCTGTGCCCTCTTGTGCCTGGCCAGGAGGGCAGGGGTATTCGAGGCTGGGGCTGCCAGAGGAGCTAACTGGCCTCCCTTGAACCTCTGAGCACCAGCCTGGGCCCAGCTGGATAAAGGAAGTGGCATCTTTTCATTCAACCACAGTCAGAGCTGTGCCCGTCCCCCCTTCCCCCCCCCCCCCCCCGCCTTTGCTGGGCAGGGCTGGGCACACAGGGTGGCTGAGATGGCCCCAGGCCCTGTCCTCTTGGAGGCTCCCAGTCCAGCGGGAGAGGCAGATGTGTCCTCAGACAGTGGCCGCCCATTACACTCCCCCACTCCAGCCCTAAGAAGGTAAGACTTAACAGAGATAGTAAGACTGGCACATTTGCTCTGGCAGGAGAGGAACTTGCCCAGCATCCTCTTTTATTTATTTGTCCCTGATTCATTCAGCAGCAGCAGCAGCAACAACAATGGCAATAAGTATTAATAACAGCAGCTAACATGTAGTGAGGACCCATGGGTGCCATGCACTCTTTTAAATGTCATCTCATTCTATTGTCTAGACATTCCTGGGACATAAGAGACTTGTTCCCCTCCGTTTGCAGATGAGGACATTGAGGCCCAGAGAGGTTGAGTCACTTGCTCAGAGACACACAGCTTGGCAGTGGTGGAGCTGGTATCTGAGCCTGGGCAGTCTGCTCTTAGCCACCAACTGCCTGCTGAGCCCTTGTACTGGCACAATCTGTATGAAGGCCTGGTGGGGGAGAATGGCACTGTGTCTGGCCAGAATTCAGAGAGCAGGGCTGCTTCTCACTCCCCAGACTGCTGACTCCAGGCTCTGCTTCCCAAGACCAGGGTGAACCCAGATAGATCTATGTGCTTCTGTGGGCTTTCACCCGCTGGGGGAGACTCATGGATTTCCAGCAGCATCCTCCACTCTATGACTTGCCTCTTGTCTGTAGCCCAAATATGCTGCCCCCTTCCTCAGATTTCCAGCTTAGGCCACATGGCTGGGGCAGGCCTCCCTGTGGTGGGGAGGACCTGGGATGGACTCCCAATGGGTGCTTCTTGTGTTTGGGACACACACCTGGTTATTTACTAAATAGCCAGCTTCACTAGGACTTGGGCCCCAGTTCCTTCTCAGGCATCAGGTCAGACTTCCAGTGTGGGATGGGCCTTGGGGCTCCTATCTGCCCTCTGCCCCCAACACCCTTCCCTGCCTCTCCTCAGGGTCTGGACTCATCACACTGGCAAGGGCATCACTCCTTGTCCACTGATATTTACTGAGTGCCTACTGTGTGCTCGGGTCCTACTCTGGATGGCAGGGACACAGCAAGAACAAGACAAAGGCCCCTGTTCTCCGGGAGCCGACATTGTACTGGGGGGAGAGGTGATGCCAGGTAGTAATAAAAGCCATGGAGAAATTGTGAGAGGGGGTCAGGGGAGGCCTCTCTGAGGCAGTTTTATTTACACTGACCTGAATGTCAAGAAAGGGTGAGCCATGCAGCTCTGGGCAGAGAAAATAGTAGGTGCAAAGGCCCTAAGGCTGGAACAAGATTCCTATGTTTAAAACGAAAGACGAGACACCAGTGTGGTTGGAGTAAAGTGAGGGGAGGAGACAACGTCCTGAGGTTGGCAGGGCCCACTGGGCAGTGCCATGTTAAGTCACAGTTTGAGCCAAGGTGGAAGCCCTTGTCGAGTTTTATTTGTTTAACATTTTTTCAGATTCCCTCCTAACCAAGGCAGCCTTTCTGATCCTGATTCTGGTTATCACTCGTGGAATTGTCTCTGTCCTGGTTCTTATCCCTTAAACCTCTGGGGTCTGTTGTCTGGAATGGAGGCACTGGCTAGAGCCAGGGCCACTGGGAAGCAGGAGGCTGAGGAGGCATCAACAAGGCCTCTCGGTCAATGGGCGCTTCTGTGACCTGGTGCTGGGCAGCCCCGTGCAGTGACTTCCCCTCTCTGGGCCTGTTTCCAGGTTTGGGAAACAGGAAGGAAGAGGACTCCATACCCACCCACCCAGGAACTATTTGGAAGGCTCATCGTGGCCCGGTCTGCATGCCTGGCATAGGCTCAGGCCAGAGTCAGCATCGAAGCATGTCTGTGTCCTCTCTATCCACCCAGCTGCCTCTAAGGGGTGACCTGTTCTAGGTTCTGAGATCTGGTCATGACCAACCAAAATGTGGTTCCCACCTGTGTGGAGCCACAGGAGATAACAATAGACACACTCATAACCGTGTAACATATTAGGTGATACTAAGGGCCAGCAGAGAGTGGACCAAGTGCCAGAATGTGCCAGGTGTTTGCGGGATGTGTTGATGGGCAAGACCAGACCATGCCCCTGCCTCCGGGGAGCTCACACTCCAACTATTACTAAAGTTGTATCATCCGTCCTTGGCAAGTCCTACCAACTCGACCTTTATAGCGAGCCTGGAACCTGCCCACTGCTTCCGCTTCCACCATCCCCATGTGGCCTCCCGCTGGACCCTCAAGCCTCCTCTTCCCCGGTTCCCTGCTCCAGTCCCAACTCCAGGGTCTGTGCTTCTCGCACAGCGTCAGGCCCTGTCTCTCCCCTGCCAGATCTTTCTGTGGCTCCATCTCACTCAGGAAAAAGCCAGTGTCCTCCCCTGTGGTTCACAAGTTCCTACTCGATCTGCCCCCACCGCCTGCCTGCCCTCCTCTTTCATCACGTGCTCCCTCGCTGCCCAGGCCCCAGCCACTTAGACTGACTTCTACTCTTTGACTGACTTAGTCTGACTTCTACTCTTTGTCCATATCAGGCATGTTCCTACCTCAGGACATTTGCCCTGGCTGTTCTTGCTGCCCAGTGCTCTTCCTCCAGGTACCCACATGGCTCCCCCTTCCCTCCCTATTCAGGTCCCTCCTCAAGTGTCACCTTCTCAGCAAGGCCCTCCCAGACCTCATTGAAAATTCTAACCTCCCCTTACCCTCCTGATCCATTTCATTTTCTTCTCATCACTTATCTGACTTAGCTGTTTTTCGGATTTATCTCATCTGTTGACAGTCTCCCTACCCCTAAACGGTGAGCTCTGTCGGGGCAGGGATGTTTCTGGCTGTTCAGGCCACTGCTGTCGGCCCTGCCTTGCCTGGTAGCTATCAGCTCTCAGTAGACAGTGATGTTTGGATAGTGGGTTCGTGAGTGTCATGGGGTCATTGTGGGTAGAGTAGGTGTTTGACAAGGAGGGGGGCATGTGTCAGTCACAGGTATGTGAGGATTTCTTGGAGGAACTAGGCTCATGGGGAGAAGCTTGAGTGATTTAGATGGGGGACAGCAAGAGCTGAGGAAGGGTGGGGAGGTGGGAATGGCATGGGATGTTAAGAGGGGCAGTGAGGAGCTTGCTGTCAGCTAGAAGGCAAACTGGCTTTTCCCTCCATTGTCAGAACACAGCCCAGAGAGGTAGGCAGTAAGCTGAGGTAGGGAGAGGTTTCCTGGAGCTGGTAGGTAAGGGTGAGCAGGAGCCAGTGGTGGAAGCCCTGAGTGCAGCTGGGGACAGTGAGCGCTTCATAGTCCCCTTCCTGGTTTGGGTTTCAGTTTGGTGAAGATGTTGTGATCCCAGTCACATCCCCTCTCTGCCCCTGGGCCCCTGGGTTCCAGCTGGGTCAGCTCCCTTCACTACCAGGGGAGCAGCTTTATACAGAGCCTGCAGCCAGGAGGGAGTAGGAAGTAAGGGTTTTACACATGCGCACACACCCAGACAGCTTTGTCACACAGTGGCTCTTGCTCTTCTGCCTGTTTCCTCTCATGAAAGGTCAGAGGGTAGAACAAGCCAGTGTGACTGGAAAACCTGAAACTTTTGGTAGGACAGGTTGAAAACTGCCTGTTCCACATGAGAAATGATGTAATTGAAAAGATTTTTTAAAATTGAAACAAACATTTTAGAGTAGGATGCAAAAATGTGTCTGCATTCTTGGGATCAAACACTGGACTTCAGAGGGGTCTGTGTCCTGGCTGGTGGCTGCGGGCTTCATGCTGTCCTCTTCATTCTGTCTGAGCGCACTGGTTCACGCTCTGCCTCTGGGCTCCAGGGCTTTCTCTGCCAGTTTCATAGTCTGCCTGTGCAGAGGCTGAGACACGAGAACAGGAAAGTAATGTAGTGGGTACAGATGAATCTGTGGGCCCATCCATGTTGCAGGCATTGGGGTACAGTGGGGAGCAATTGGATGACAGGCCCTGCTCTCATGGAGCAGACAGTCTAGTAGGTGAGACAGACACTGAAGAATTACACACACACACACACACACACACACACACACAATGTATGGAAATGCAGTGAGGAAAAACAAAGCAGAGAAAGGGGGCATAGAGAGTGATAGGACAGGAACAGGGACATTTGACCAGAGATGTGGGTGGAGGGAAGGAGAGAGAGAGCCATGTGCAAATCAGTGAGAAGTAAGTTCCAGCAGGTAGCAACCACCAGTGCAAAGGCCCTGAGGTGGGAGCATTTCTAGGGTGTGAAGAATAGTGAGGAAGCCCATGTAGCTGGGGTAGAGTGAGCAAGGGGGTGTGAAGAAGGACAAAGGGGAGAAGTGATGGGCCTGGTGGGTTACAGGGAGGAGTCTTTGTGGGCCAAAGTAGGATTTAAGGATGTTGACTCTGGAGTGAATAGGACTGTCTCCCAACCTCAGTTCTGCTGGATGCCCTTAGTGCAGGATTTCACTTTGTGAGCCTCAGTTTCCACATCTTCAGAATGGGCATGAGAATAACCACTTCACTGAGATTGTGAGCTCAGCATCAGCATCTGTGCAGGGTTGTGAGGTCCTCTGGTGTTGATGGGAGTGTAAATACTGGGGCTGAGCCTCAGCGAGCCACATGTGGTGGTAGGGACTGGCTTTCAGACACCTTTTCCGCTGCAGCCTGTCACACCAAAGGCCTGTGGGAAAGGGGATAAGGAATCACGGGGGAGGGGAGGCAGCTGCCCCACTTGTGCTGCCTCTTGCTATCCCTGGGGGCCAGGGCCAGACAGGTCAGATAGGAAGTAGGGACCCTCCCCCTGAGAAAGGTTCAGGGCAGGAGAAGAAGGACAAGATCTTGGTGGGGAGAGGGGAGGAGTCCAGGACCTACTCCAAGATGATGATGATGATGATAATAGCATGGCTGCAGCCTGGCTGGTATACCTCAGTGGTTGAACATTGACCCATGAACCAAGAGTTCACTGATTCGATTCCCGGTCAGGGCACATGCCCAGGTTGCAGGCTCAATCCTCAACAGGGGGTATACAGGAGGCAGCTGGACAATATTTCTCTCTCATCAATGTTTCTATCTCTCTATCCCTCTCCCTTCCTCTCTCTCTAAAAATCAATAAAAACACGTAAAAATTAATTTACAAAATAGCATGGCTGCAATCCTCAGGGGCAGAATAGGCAGCTAAGAGCTTGGACTTTGGTGTCCAACTCTCTGGGTTCAAAGCCTGGGTGCCCTGGACAAGGGGCTCATCTCTGAACCTCGGGGTCCCCATCTGTGAATTGGGGATGATAAGAGTGCCTCTCTCAGAGGTTACTATGAGGATGGAGTGGGATTAGGCACAGAGGGCATCAAGCAGGGCCCAGCACATAAAAATCTCCCAAGAGGCAGCTGCTGCTAATTTCGAGAACTGGGTTGGACAGGCCTGAAATCTCATGTCCACGCTGCTACTAAACTGTGTAACCTGGCGAGGGGGTATGTCCTCATCCTCTCTATGCCTTGTGTTTTATTGTCTTTTGTTTTTTCACCTGTAACCGGGGTCAGGTCTGTAGCGTGGGTCAGGTGTGCAGATTAAATGAGGGACTCTGGCCCTAACCAGCTTGGCTCAGTGGATAGAACGTCGGCCTGCGGACTAAAGGGTCCCAGGTTCGATTCCGGTCAAGGGCATGTACCTTGGTTGCGGGCACATCCCCAGTAGGAGGTGTGCAGGAGGCAGCTGATCGATGTTTCTCTCTCATCGATGTTTCTAACTCTCTATCCCTATCCCTTCCTCTCTGTAAAAAATCAATAAAATATATTTTTAAAAAATAAATGAGGGACTCTGGGTTGAGTGCTTAGAAGAGGGGCTAGAACCCAGCAGGTGCGCAGTAAGTGTGGGTGGCCTCTCTAAAGGGCACACTTCCTTCCTATGTGCAGTTCCTAGGGGCCTGGCCATCAGTGCCTATGCTCTCTGTGACTCCTTATAGAACTCCAGGAGCTGTCATAGCCCACTTTTACAGGAGGAAACTGAGGCACAGAGTGGCTGAGCTGCCAGTGCAGGGCCACACAGTGAGCTCCCAAGGTGGGTTGGCTCATGCTATTTCACGGGCACAGAAAATGAAGTGGCACAGTGTGTAGCAATAGAGCCCGGGTTTGGGCCCTGGGCTGACTGACTCCTAAGTTCCAAGCTTGTCTGGGAATCCCAGCATCCCCCATTCCTGGTGCAGGCCCCTACCTTTAAGTAGCAGCTCCTCTCCTTTTTCTTCTGAGGCCCCCATAAGGTCAGGAGCTTGGGGACTTAGTGGGAAGGGGGGCGTGGTAAAGGAGCCAGCTGTGCTTGGAGCTGCCCCAGGGTGGGGCTCCCGCCGCCTGATCATTATAAACATGGTCAGTTCCTCTGTTTGTCCTGCCCTCCATGTGGTGCCAGAGGGAAGGGGTGGCCCCAGGCAAATATCCGGAGGTGTGCCCCTCTACCCCCTTCCCCTGTGGGGTCACTGCCTGCACTGTGCAGCGGTGGCTTGGCGGTTTATAGGTGGGTGTTCTGGGTTGGCTGCCCCATGTGCCAGGCTGCTGCCTGCCCACCCATCTGGATCCTGAGCTCCCTCTCCTCGGTTAGTAAGGGGTCATGTGGCTAACCCTCTCCTATGAGGCCTAGGCTGGGAGATGGAGGATGGGCAGAGCAAAGAGTGAGAAAGGCCAAGGGGAAAAATGAGGCTAAGTCCGGGGCCAAAGGGGGTTACAGCTGGGAAGACAGTGCAGAGGTGATAGGATATAGGGCAAAGATCTGGGGTGACAGAGCAGGGAAGATGGGAGAGGGTCGGGTGTAGGGTGTAGTGTGGGTCAGGGTCACCAATGGGAGTCTGGGAGGGAGGGCTGGACAGTGTTCAGAGGCCTGGAATGGGGGAGACACTGAAGGGGCTCCTGGTTTGGCTGGGGCTATAGAAGGGGCTGAGGCAGAGGCAGAGGCAGAGGCAGAAGCAAAGAGGCCCCCTCCCTGACCAGGGCTGTCCCACCCCATATCTAGACAGCTAGGGTCCCTGGAGCATGGGGGACAGTGCCCTGGCTGGGGGAGCTCGGCCCAGATCTGATTCTGGCCACCTGCTGGCCAAGAGGCCCAGACCAGTTGAGACAGGTTAGCTGCTGGGTTCCTGCCCACCTCCCTCCACTGCCAAACCGGTTCTCCTGGAGGCTGCCCATTGATGGTCCTTCCTCTGAGCAAGGGGTGGCAGCCTATTTGGCCTCACCTTACAGAGCTGCTCCCACAGGAAAGGAGCAGCTCTCTCATGGGAGGAGAGCCAGGGGCTGAAGAGGCCACATCCCAGACATGCTTCTGAGCATCCTCATAGGTCATAAGACTCACTGAGCTTGTGACTGACCCTGTGCCAGGCACTGGGAAGCTAGCCATGAACCAGACAAAATCCCCACCTGGGTGTTTCCTCTCATCCTTAGATATAAGCTCACAAGCACCTCCTCTGGGAATCCTCCCTTATTTTCACCCTGCCATTCCTCCATCTGGGTCTGGTGCTCCCTGACCCAGTCCCTGCCACTCTGGGCTGTCAGAAGCTGTCTCTATCACCGCTGTGTTCCTAATACCAACCAGCACAGGCTGGGCACAGAGGAATGAGTTATTACTGAATGAGTGGGTGAATAAATGAATGGATGAGTAAAAGACGTTTTGTTCCCGTTTTACAGATGAGTAACCCGAAGCCCCAAGAGGAGATGGCACCTGCCCAAGGGCACTTCTAGCACAGCCAGTGTCACACCAGGTCTGTGGGCTCTGGGGCTCGTGTGTGGGACAGGGGAGCCAGACCTGAGTCCCCCTCCCTCAGGCACTGCTAGAAGTAATCCTAACCATCAACATCGTAAATGAGGACAGGCCCTCCTTCTGTGCCCAGCTCTGTTTGTATTAACTCGTTTAATTCTCACAGCAGTCCTAAGGAGGTTGGTCTAAGCACAGAGAAGTGAAGTCACTTACCCAAGGTCACACAGAGCAAGTGGCAGAGAGAGATTTACTCTCTGGACATCTTGCTCCTTCCCATTATTTCTCTGGTCTCCCTGTGGGACTCCACCATCAGGTGTCTCCCCTTTGGCCCCTTTGGATGTTTTGTTTGTTTGTTAATCCTCACCCAAGGATATTTTCCCATTGATTTTTAGAGAGTGGAAGGGAGGAGGAGAGACAGAAAGGGAGAAATACCATGTGAGAGAGACAGGGAGACACATTGATTGGTTGCCTCCTGCATACGCCCCAACCAGGGCTGGAGATCGAGCCCACAACTGAGGTATGTACCCTTGACTGGAATCAAACCTGGGACCCTTCAGTCCAGAGGCCTACCCTCTGTCTCCTTTGTTTGTTTGTTTTTAAATATATATATATATACACACTATATTTTATTGATTTCAGAGAGGAAGGGAGAGGGGCGACAGAGAGAGAAACATCAGTGATGAGAGAGAATCATTGATCGCTGCCTCCTGCATGTCCCCTACTGGGGATGGAGCCCACAACCTGGGCATGTGCTATTGACTGGAATCGAACCCAGGACCCTTCAGTCTACAGGCTGACGCTCTATCTAATGAGCCAAACCAGCCAGGTTTTTTTAATCAACTTTCATTTACACTGTGCCTGGTACTATTCTGAATACCTGACTGGAGACCCCACACCCTAAAAACAGGGACTGTGTTGTCTGTGAGTATCTGTTATGATGTGTGTCTTCCCAAATGTGTGATCTTGGTGAGGAGCTTCCCTCCTCTGGGCTGCGGTCTCCTCCTCCGTGGAGCGGGAGTGGAGCAGCCAGGCTGCCTAGGCGTGGCGAGGCTCAGTGACCATTTGTTGAACAAGTAACCAGAGGGGTGTAGTGTTCCTGGCCCAGAGTCTAGGCTGGGAAAGCATGATGGTTGTGACCAGGCCGTTAGGAACAGGTCATGAGCACACTGTGTGCCAGGCACTGTGCTACGCATGGGGGTGGGACATGGGGAGCCTGGGCAGAGACCTGGCCTACAGTACTGATATTCTAGTGATGGGGCTGTAGACGCTAAACTAGTAAACACAGGAATAAACAGCAGAATTTCTAGAAGTTAAACGTGCTATGAAGTGGAGCGTGGGCCTCTTTTACTTGGGGTAGTCAGGAAAGGATTCACCAAGGACTCTGAGACCTGAAGGAGGGGAGGGAGGGAGCCATGTATGGATACTGGGGAAGAGTATCCCATGAAGGGGACAGCCAGTGTGAAGGCCCTGAGGTTAAAAAGCCAGTGTGAGCAAGGGGAGATACAAGTCGAGAGGTGATGGGGCAGGCCATGTGGGGTGGATCATAGGGACGACTTGGCTTCTCCCCTGAGTGAGATGGCAGGACCAGAGAAGCAGGGAGAAATGGGCAGGTTCTGGTGAGTGGCCCCCTCCTCCAGGCCTGCCGCAGGAGCCCACGTCTGCGCCCTCCTGGTACTAAGAGCCTTGGCGCCATGTTTGGGAAGAAGAAGAAGCGGGTAGAGATCTCGGCACCATCCAACTTCGAGCACCGCGTGCACACTGGCTTCGACCAGCATGAGCAGAAGTTCACGGGGCTGCCCCGCCAATGGCAGAGCCTGATCGAGGAGTCAGCTCGTCGGCCCAAGCCCCTCATCGACCCCTGCCTGCATCACTTCCATCCAGCATGAGGCCCCCAAGGTATACTGGCACCCCCCACCTTGCCTGACCCTCGCCAACCCCCACAGAGGGACCCCAATCCTTAACCCCACACTTGACCCTGTGGCCAACATCTCCTCGCTGACCCCCATCCTTTATGACTTCCAAATACACGCCCCAACCCTCCACACTCATCCTCACCCCCAATGCTGCCCTTTCATCCACCCCTTTACCCACTGACGCCTTACCTAGCCTCCAGCCCTGAGAACCCCACACTTACCTTGATCCCTCCAACAGTCCCTTCATACCAGCTCCTAAGCTGTGCTCTCCCAGAGCCTCACATCTAGAGCTCTGTGTTCCTGACCCCAGTGCCATCCATAACTTGTCCTTGGGTCTTTACAGAGCTCCCATGGCAGTGGGGGGTGAGGGGGGAGGGCAGACCTATTCCCAGATGGTGAGCCCCCTTAAGTGGTCAGGGCTGGGCTGGGGAAACCCAGAGAAGAGGCCTGATCCAGGCCTGGGGTTCAGACTAAGCCCTGAGGACTGAGGAGGAGGAGGAGTCCTGGGCAGATGGTGAGCAGCAGGGCTTCTAGTGGAGGAAGAGGCCCGTGTGAACCTTGGGGATTGGGGTTTGGGATTGCCAGCAAACGAGCAGAGCTGGGATTGGTTCGTCATGCTCTTTTTTAAAAATATATTTTTTTATTGATTTTTTTTACAGAGAGGAAGGGAGAGGGATAGAGAGTTAGAAACATCGATGAGAGAGAAACATTGATCAGCCGCCTCCTGCACACCCCCCACTGGGGATGTCCCCGCAACCGCACCAAGGTACATGCCCTTGACTGGAATTGAACCTGGGACCCTTCAGTCCGCAGGCCGACGCTCTATCCACTGAGCCAAACCAGTCAGGGCAAAAGGCTCATGCTCTTAATCCCTTTCCTGCCTCCATGGTTCAGGTGCTCTGGCATGGCCTGCAGTGAGGCCGGCCTGGTGGCATGGACTTTATCCCAAGGGCAGTGGGAACAGGAAGGGCCTCGGGCCAGGGGAACGAATCAGGGCTGTTCCAGGAGTGGAGGTGGGTGTAGCAGGCTCAGCGCCCGGGACCAGGCTTGCAGATGACTCATCCTCTCCAGTTGCCCAACCCAGCCTGGCAGGAGGAGGCCCCAGGTCAGTGAGGTGGGTGTAGACACAAGTGTGGACACTCTCCCACCAGGGTCTCAGTCTGGGGGCCCACTGAAGTGTTCCTGTGTCCCATGCAGGATGCTTCTGAATATTTTGAATTGTTTGTCACCTCTTATAAAGTGAGAGATTTCATGTCCAAACTTCTGTTTCTGGCTTCTCCTGACTGATCAGCTGAGGCTGAGTGGTAGCTGCCTCCAGAGGCAGGGCCCCACCTGGGCCACCAGGAAGAAGAGGCACCTTGTCTTAATTCACACAAAGGTGCCACACAGGCTAGCACTGTCCTGGGGCCCCTGTGTGTTTGCTGCCCAGTCCTCCCAGGCCCTTCCTCCCTCCCCCAGGCACTTCTGACCCTAAAGCCTGACCAGCCGTCTGCCAGGCTTCCGGGCTGGCAGCCAAGGTCCAGCAGAGGCAGGGGCAGGCCCCATAGGTGGGTTTTGTGGGATCAGTGTTTTCTGCACAGTAGAGGCAATTCTGACTTCGGGCTATCTGGCAGCCCTGGGCCCATGTCCCTGTGTGTCCGTGGTTGACAGCACAGAAGTGGGGGCCATATTCTCTGCTTTCCACAGCCTCCACTCAGCTCCCCTCACTCCCTCACGGTTCAGCAAATGTTTATTGAGTGCCTTCTGCAGACCCACACTGCTCTAGGTGTTCACATTTAGCAAGAGCAGAAACAGGAAGACCTAATCGCTGCTCACACACACATTGCACCTGGGGAGCTGTAGGTGTGTTTATATCCACTGGTTTTATGTACTTTATTTTTTTAATAAATATATTGTATTGATGTCAGAGAGGAAGGGAGAGGGAGAGATAGAAACATCAGTGGTGAGAGAGAATCATTGATCAGCTGTCTCCTACACGCCCCCTACTGGGGATCGAGCTCGCAACCTGGGCATGCGCCCTTAACCGGAATTGAACCCGGACCCTTCAGTTCGCAGGCCGATGCTCTGTCTCCTGAGCCAACCCAGCTAGGGCTCCACTGGTTTTAAGTGCTCTAAAGAAAAGGCAGGGAAGAGGGACAGGGAGTGTTAGGGGCTGGCATTTTAGATGGCCGCTCAGCAAAAGCCTCCCTCTGAGAAGCTGAGTTTCCAGCAAACACCTGAGGAGAGGAGGGAGGGAGCCATGGCATACTTGGGGGAAGATGTTCCAGGCAGAATGAACAGCCAGTGCAAAGGCCCTGAGGTAGGAGCTGCCTTTGTACTTGAGGAGCAGTGAGGCCCATGTGCCTGGAGCTAAGTGGGGGACAGGGAACCCTGGAGACTGTTTCTCAAAGAGGGAGCCAGGACCTGGATGAGGGTGGTGCCCACGGAGAGGGTGAGCACCCATCCCCCATCGGCATTCTCATTGCCATCCCCGCTCCTGGGGTACTCTTTCCCTCTATGTTGGGCCCAATCCTTTTTGACTCTCCCTATACCCAACCCTTGGCTTCCAGGGGAACAGAGAATGTGTTTTGGGGGTTAACAACATTGGCAGGCTGCAGGGGAGGAAGCACCAAGCTGTGCCCTGGCCCCAGCATCCTGTAATTTGCAGCTCTCCAAGGCTGATTATGGAGTGGTGTGGCCTCTGCCCTCCCCCTTCACCCACAGGGCAGGAACCCCCGCCCCCCCCAACCCCCCCAAGCCAGGAGAGCAGGAGGCAGGAGGGTGCTTCAGCTAGCTTCCGGCTGGGGGTGGGGCGGAGGCAGCCTGACTGAGGGGAGGTTACTCCTTCAGCCCTCCCCCTGCAACTGACTTCTCTGTGTGGGGTGGGGGAAGGGTGCTGCGGGGCCTCCCTGGTGCTGCCCCCATCTGCCCAGCCCCATCATCACCCATAGCATTTCTTCATTTGTCTCTGTCTTGTCTCTGTGTGTGTTGTACTGTCCTGTCCTTGTGTGTTGGTTACATATCCTTTGTCCCCCTCCTACTTGCCCGGCCCCTCTCCCACCACTGCCCTGGATCCTGGACCCCAGACCATCGTGCGGGGCAGCAAAGGTGCCAAGGATGGGGCCCTCACGCTGCTACTGGACGAGTTTGAGAACATGTCAGTGACACGCTCCAATTCCCTGAGGAGAGACAGCCCGCCGCCGCCACCCACTCGTGCCCGCCAAGAAAATGGGATGCCCTCGGAGCAGGCTGCCATAGCCAGAGGGGGCCCAGAGAAGGCGGGCAGCCAAAGCCGGGTTGCTGGTCATCGTGAGGGGAGTGGCAGCAGTGGTGACAAGCGGCGGGTGGGGCCGGAGAAGAAGCCAAAGTCTTCCAGGGAGGGCTCAGGGGGGCCCCAGGAATCCTCCCGGGACAAGCGACCCCTCTCTGGGCCTGACGTCAGCACCCCCCAACCTGCTGGTGTGGCCAGTGGGACGAAAGTGGCTGCTGGCCGGCCCTTTAACACATACCCGCGGGCCGACACGGATCATCCATCCCGGGGCACCCAGGTAACTGATCCCCCACCCCAAGACCCCGTATGTCTCCTTCCCCAAAGCTTTTCCTATCCCCACCCACCTACTCCAACCTGTGCCCAGCCCACTGTGCATCTCCATCCTGACCACCATGTGTCTGTGCCACAGCCGGGCCCCTGTCCTGCTCAGGAGAGCAGAGCTGGCCCCTGTTCCCTCCACTGACAGCTTCCTCTCCTTTCTGTTTCAGGGGGAGCCTCACAACATGGCCCCCAATGGGCCATCAGTGGGGGCCCTGGCTGTCCCCCAGTCCTCTTCCTCCCGGCCTCCCACCCGAGCTCGGGGCCCCCCCAGCCCTGGAGTGCTGGGCCCCCATGCCTCCGAGCCCCAGCTGGCCCCTCCAGCCAGAACCCTCGGTGCCCCTGCTGGCACCCCCGCCTCTGGGCCTCCCGGCCCCCGCTCTCCACAGCGGGAACCCCAGCGTGTGTCCCATGAGCAGTTCCGGGCTGCTCTGCAGTTGGTGGTGGACCCTGGTGACCCCCGCTCCTACCTGGACAACTTCATCAAGATTGGCGAGGGCTCCACAGGCGTTGTGTGCATCGCCACTGTGCGCAGCTCAGGTCGTCTGGTGGCTGTCAAGAAGATGGACCTGCGCACGCAGCAGAGGCGTGAGCTGCTCTTTAATGAGGTGGGCCTCCTGGCCTCCCTCTCCTGCCCTCACCTTCCTCCCCGGGGTCCTCCCCCTGTGGGTAGTGAGGCCCGAAGAAGGGGGCCCTTCTTCCAGCAAGCTGGTTACAAAGGGAGCCTCGGCTCTTTCAGGAGGGCTGAGGGGGAGCGGCCTTGGGACTTTGATGCAGGGTCAGTCAGCACTAGCCCCACAGCCCGGCCCTGGCCCCCCCCCCCCAGCCCCCCGTTACTATGAGCTTCGGTTGAATGTGGCCCTGAAAGCAGGGTGTTCCCACCTCCCCCATCCCCATCCCACCTTCCATTCTAACCTCGGCTCATACCTACTTGTCCTGATCTCAGCCCTGTGCTCAGACGCTCTCTTCCCACTTCCTCTCCCAACACCAGCCTGGTCTTCAGGGCCACTCAGAGACCAGCTCAGGACTGGTTACAGATTGGGATCAGAAATGTGTGTGCATGGGGACGAGAGCGCCCTCAGAATGGAGGCTTCAGGCCTAAGCTGCCTTTGTGGTCTGTTAACTTTGGGGAAGGCAGTCCAGGGCGATCCCGATGAGCAAGAGTGACAGGTGGAACTGGGCCTGCAGTGCGGCAGAACCCAAACCCTGGCCCGAGAGTGAGGTAGGAGGGCGGCTGACGGCTGGCGGCCCTCCCCCTACCACGCTGACCCAGCCTCCCTCGCCAGGTGGTGATCATGCGCGACTATCAGCACGAGAATGTGGTGGAGATGTACAACAGCTACCTGGTGGGCGATGAGCTCTGGGTGGTGATGGAGTTCCTGGAGGGAGGTGCCCTCACTGACATCGTCACCCACACCAGGTACTGCCAGGCAGCACAGCCCTGGCTGACACCCAGCCCACTGTCTCCCCAGGCTCCCTAAGGTGGCGCTAGATTCCCCCCAGACCTCTTCTGTGACAGGATGAAGTCCCCTCCAGACCCCTTGGGGTGGCGGAGCCAACAGGGCTATATCCCCCTCAGACACCCAGGGTTGGACTGGATCCCCCTTGGACCCTGTTTGCCCCAGTTGCTTACTCCTCCCACACAGGATGAACGAGGAGCAGATTGCCTCAGTGTGCCTCGCCGTGCTGCAGGCCTTGTCTGTGCTCCACGCCCAGGGCGTTATCCACCGGGACATCAAGAGTGACTCCATCCTGCTGACCCACGACGGCAGGGTGAGGATTCGGGTGGCTTGGGCTTCCGCTGCCCCTCCCCAGCTCCCCTCTGCCGTCAGGGCAGGCTCTGGCCCCAGTGCAGCGTCTTGAGGAGCAGTCAGCTTGTTCCTTGGGCAGCAGTCCAGAGTCAGGTCATTGGTGGGGCTCCGCCATCAGCACAGGACACTGGCACCTGTACTCTTGCCCTAGGCTCAGGAAGGGGAGAACACATTTGGGTGGCCACCACAGTTTGGCCATGTGCTTCTCCCACCCCTGAGACCAAGCACCTGAGTGGCCCTGGACCCCATCCTGCCTCCCGTCTTCTGGACTGAATGAAGTTCTGAATCTGGTCTATGGATGAGCCACAGAGTGCCCAGAACCTGCATGTACAGTCCGAGAGTGGACTCTCAGTGGGAGGGCCCCTTGACTATCACCCAATTCTTGGAGATTCGACCTCCCTCCCCCAGGAAAGTTAATCCAGACAACAGAAGTGGCAGTGTGGAGCTCTTCACTGGGAGGGCTCAGGGGGGCAGCTTCAATCTAGGGCCGTGGTCGGCAAACTGCGGCTCGAAAGCCACATGCGGCTCTTTGGCCCCTTGAGTGTGGCTCTTCCTAAGTCTTAGGAGTACCCTAATTAAGTTAATAACAATGTACCTACCTATATAGTTTAAGTTTAAAAAAATTGGCTCTCAAAAGAAATTTCAATTGTTGTACTGTTGATATTTGGCTCTGTTGACTAATGAGTTTGCCGACCACTGATCTAGGGCCTGTGAACCCCTGAAGATGTCTACAGAAGTGTTTTAGAGACATGTGTAGCCACCTAAACTTGCACACACTCTGGGCAGGCTTTCTGGGGTTGCGACACACAGACATCCTCAAGAGTCTGGAAGGAGCCTGCAACTCAAAAGAGGTGTGCATCCTTAGTTCTGCGGTCCTGGTTGTCGCAGAGGCAGGCCCAGTGTCCTCACACTCCAGGGAAGCAGAGGCCCAGGCGTGAGCTTTGGGATCCAGCTCTGGTCTCGGCCCCAGCATCAGCCTGGGTACCTGTAGGACTCAGGCCACTTCCCCTCACAGCCCCAGGGCAGACCCTGTCTGGAAGTCAGATGGTGTGATGTGGAGGCAGTGACACACCTAAGGGCTCCCTACCAGAGGTGGAGACCCAGCATGTCGGAGGCCAAGGAATTAATAGGGGGCTGCCTCTCTCACCCTCCCCATGCCAGCACCTCTGACCTCGCTGCCTGCCCCCTGCCCCAGGTAAAGCTGTCAGACTTCGGGTTCTGCGCCCAGGTGAGCAAGGAGGTGCCACGGAGGAAGTCATTGGTTGGCACGCCCTACTGGATGGCCCCAGAGCTCATCTCCCGCCTTCCCTACGGGCCAGAGGTAAGCCAGAGGGCGCTGGTGTACCGCTGTCAGCACCAGTTCGTGCTGTGAACAGCATGAGTGGCGGGGTTCAGAACAGCCAGAGTGTTGGGGTGAAGTGGGTCTCAGTCTGGGGAATGGGTCTCCAGGGATGATTTTGGAAGAAGAGGTAGACATTCATTCATTCATTCATTCATTCTTGATTGGGTACTAGTTCTGAGCCAGGCCTAATGCTTGGCAGTGAGAACAGAATGCTGAGCAGAAGTGGTCACGGCTTTGACTGACAGCTGGTGCAGAGGCCACAAAGTGGCTGGCTCCTGGCTGGTTGGCTTGAAGATGCTTTTGCAAGCATTTAAAAAAGATAAGTCTCTCATAGAAGTCCAAATTTCCATTCTCCATCAGAAAACCAAGATGTGTGGTCACATGGAGGCCAAATTCCCACATGGCAACAATCGGCAGCACAGATAGGCTGCTCTGCTGTAGAAAGGCAGCCCCTTCGTCCTGGTCGTAGCCCCCACCCATTCCTATTAGGTACACTGACCTGCGTCACTGCCATCACCTGCCTGGCCCTGAGGCCTGTGAGCTGGTGCCCAAGGCCCTGAGGATTCCTCCACAGTCAGTCAGCAAGGCCTGACCCAGTGCCTGGCCCTGGGACAGGCATCCTGGGAAGCACATCTTGGGGGGCCTCAGGCTGGAGTGGGGTCACACTGGGAGGGGAGACTAGTATGAGATTCTGAGGGGACATCTCAGTCAGGACAGCCTGTGAGTGACAAACCCTGCTCAAATGGATTTAGCAAAACCTGGAAGCTAAGGGTCCCCAAAATTGTGACAGGCTTCAGGCCTAGCCGTCCACATGCTCCCTCCCTTCAGGCCCTGATTTTCTCTGCAGTGTTCTCTCAGTCAGATGCTCCCCTTGTGACAGCAGAGATGACCCTGACAACTGGGACATGTCTCCCTGCCTGTGGACACCATAGGATATTTGGCTTATAGTCTCAGGGTTGACTCTGATTGGTTTAGCTTGTGTCATGTGCCCATTCCTGACCCAGTTACTGGTCCCAACCAACCTGGTCATGCCCTTGCCTCCCCTTCCCCCCGCCTGCCCCTGGCTAGGTGTGAGGAAGGGTGGGGGGTCCACCAGAGGAAACTGGTTGTGCTTAGCAAAAAGAAAGGGGACAGGCTAGGTGGGCAGAACCCTCCAGGGGGTTCCCTGGGTGAAGAGTGCACGGGGTTGGCAGGCTCATGTCAGAGCAGGGGTTCCAGGTCCGAGGCTCAGGTTGCAGAGAGGCAAAGGTAGAACTGGGGGCCGTCCCTCCCCGGGCTGGGCCACCCAGCACAAGCCCTGCCATTCCTTCCTCCGCTGCAGGTGGACATCTGGTCACTGGGGGTGATGGTGATTGAGATGGTGGATGGGGAGCCCCCCTACTTCAATGAGCCACCCCTCAAAGCCATGAAGATGATTCGGGACAACCTGCCACCCCGACTGAAGAACCTGCACAAGGTGGGCCCTGCCGGCAGGCAGGTAGTGTGAGGAAGATATACAAGCCTGTAGGGTGGCTGGGTGCCACCCGGCCTCACACCCAAGCAGAGCACTGGTGGTTGGTGTGGACTGAACTGGGGCATTGATATCTCCTGGGATGGCATTTACTGGGTGCTAGACTCATTGCCCTCCTCATCCCACAGAGGTGCTCACGCTGGCCTGACTGAAGGCACACAGCATGGTCAGGCCCCGGAGAGGGGCCTTCCATGTAGAGCTATCTGGGGAGAAGGGGTGCCTCCAGGGCCCCGCTGCTGCCAGCTCCTCACCAAACTTTGAAAATAGGGAGGAAATGAGTCCGTGGGGTCAAGCTCTAGACACAGGGCACCTCTTTCCTCCCAACCTGGACAATAGATGTCAGCCTATTGACAGAGAAGAGGCGACTGAGGCCCCTACAGCGAGTGAGCAGTGGAGCTGGCACTCAGACCCTGCCCTGCCTCCCCCACAGGTGTCACCGTCCCTGAAGGGCTTCCTGGACCGCCTGCTGGTGCGTGACCCAGCACAGCGGGCCACGGCAGCTGAGCTGCTGAAGCACCCGTTCTTGGCCAAAGCGGGCCCGCCCGCCAGCATCGTGCCCCTCATGCGCCACAACCGCACCAGATGAGGCTTGGTGCCCTGTCCCTGAACCAAAGAGCCCCTTGGGTTACCCCTGCCTTGCCGAAGGCCAGTAGGGGGCCGGCCTCTGCTCCTCCTGGCCTGGGAGACACTCCATGTGGCACTGCCTTCGTTACTGGGGCAGTGTGTGGGACCCTACTACTGAACTCCAGTTTTGATTTTGTGACTCAAAATATGGGATTTGTGGGAGCAAGTGAGGCTCCCAGATCCCCCCTACAGGACAGGCCCTCCCTGTGTTTCCCTGTCCCCAGGAAGGACAGGCAGCTTCCCATCACTGGAACTCTGCAGTGGGGGCTGCTAGGGGTGGAAAGAACACTACGAAAGAGGCGTGTGTGCATTTGCGTGCGTGCGTGCGTGTGTGTGTGTGTGTGTGTGTGTGTGTGTACATGGGTGTGCACACAGTGGAAGGTCCAGCTCCTCTGTCCTCCAGACTGCGAGTGGGTGTCTCTGACCTTGCCTCACATACAACCCCCTCTCCCCCTGAGCCATGGTGGGGGTCGATCATGAATGTCTGAAGAGTGGCCTTCTCCCTTAGCCCTACATCTCCTTTCTGTGGTTGGATGGGGAGACAGGTCAGGGCTTCCCCCCACCCCCAGCCTCTGCAGAAAATGACTACTGCACCTGGACAGCCTCTTCTTTTCTAGAAGTCTATTTATATTGTCATTTTATAACACTCTAGCCCCTGCTCCCAGCTGGGGACAGATGGTCCCTGTCCTGCGGGGGGCACCGGGGACAGAACCACTGCTTGAAGAATCAGGTTCCTGTCCCCTTGGCGCAGCCCCACCTTCCCTCCCTCAAGTTAGTTTTACAATTAAAACATTTTCTTGATTTTTGTGTGTGTGTGTGTTTGTGGAGTGTGTAGAGGCCCCTGCCTGCCCACACTGTCCAGGCGGAGGGACTCTAGGGTCAGGAGTGGGCGGGCCTGGCCTACCCAGGATTCTAGCCCAGCTTAGGGCAAGGGCTATGTCTGTGGGCGAGTGGGGAGTTCCAGGTCAAAGGACAGCCAGTAAAGCTCCTGCTCACGGGGCACATTGACACTGCCCACCCCTTTTCTCCAAGCCTGGAAGGAGTCAGTTTACAAGTCCATGTGCCGTGATGACCAGTGTACCAAATCTGCAATTTCTGGCGACTTGTTTCAAAGGTTGTCTTGAGTGTGTTCAGTGGGTAGGAATTAATCCGTGCTGAGTTGATGCTAGTAAATTGCTCAATGGACAGATGGGCTTTGGGGCTTGGCTAAGGCGGATGGACCAAGGCTGCCAGCTTCCCAGAGACTCCATCAGTCAAGCTCTTCCCTCCAGGCTGACTCGGGCCTGGGCCTACCTCCCAACAAGGAGAAGGAGTCCAGCTGTCATCGAGTGACAGTGCAGCGTTCTGGACATTGAGCACTCCAGGGCTTTGTGTGTCCTCCCCAGCATGCTGAGAGGTGTTGGGCAGGAGCAGCTTCCTGGGGGCAGCTGGGAGCACAGGAGAGAGCCCCTCTCCATAGCCCTCCGGTATCAGTGGCACCAGCAACCCCAGCCTGGTTTGTGGGTGGAAGTGTGTGGTGAGGACGGAGAGATTCCAGCTTGGTCCACACTACCACTCTCCTCCACTATCACGTGACTATCTCCAGAGCACCCCTCTCCACTGGCCCCGACTTCCCCCAAGAATTGGGGTGCTGTTTCTGTGACAGCCTGGCCGAGTACATGCATGGTCTAGATAAATAATCAGATTTAAACGGCCCAGCATGAGCAATAATTGCTGTATGTGAATGTGTCTGGAAAAAATATGCCAAAATTGGCATAAGGAGAAATAACCAAAAAGACCAAAATAACCCCCGACACACACTTTTTTAAAAAATGCTTTGAGCTTGAATACCTGTACAAATGAGTTGTGCCAAGCTTTGAAGTATCAGGTCATTCCTACCTTGTACAAATTGTTCCAGAAAACAGGAAAAGATGATAGCTGTCGGAGGCTCTTTTAGGAGCCTGGAATACCCATAATCCCCAAAACAGATAAGGGTGATGAAGAATGAGCGTTGCAGCCACACTGGGCGCCTGGAGGTGCCACTTGGTGGAGACGCCCACCGAGACTCAGCGATGACATTTGCCCCTTAGGTTGTGGAGGAAGAGCCCACGGCAACTCTGCCCTTACTGTGTCTTCAGTCACATGACTGCAGTTTTAAAGAATCGCCTTGGGGAGCCCCTTGTCCAGCCCCCCTGCTCCCCCCAGCTGCTGACGTCCATGCTGGAGGAGTTCCTACGTTATCAGTAAGAAACTCCTCTAGTTTCAAACAGGATTTAATACAGGGGGTCGGTTACCAAGGCACTGGGACAGCTGGGGGAGCCACAGAGGGCCAGGAACCCAACCAGTAGTCGTTAAAGGCAGGAGCCTCCACTGTGGGGCTAGAGGGACGAAGAGTCAGTGGCCCTACTAAAGTCCACTTGTGTCCCTGCTGCACTGAGCAGAATGGCTGTCCAGCTTCCCACCCTCTACTCCCACTGGAAGCCTCCTATTGGCAGGACCTTACTGATTCCAGCTGGCAAGGGAGTCGTACAGGCAGCTTTGCAGGCTTCCCGCCTCCGTGGAAAAGGAGGCACTCGGAAGGGCAGGTGTGGCGGAGCAGCAGAGTCATCTGCTCCGCTGGGACGTGGCACAGGGGTCTCACTCTGTCCAGATGTTACTGTGCAGACATGGTGCTCCACAAGGAGTGTTAGCCACAGCAAAGGTCCAGGAGAGGGAGTTAAGGACGTGTGAAGGTCAGACTTAAGTCAGACCAGTGGTTCTCAAAGTCTGGTTCTGGACTGGCAGCATCCCTGGGAACTTAATGGGAATGCAAGTTTCTGGGCCCCACTCACCCCATCACACCGTGTGGGACCTGGCTGTCTGTACTACACATAACAAACAACCTGCCGGGGGATTCTGAGGCCTCTCAAGTGTGAGAGCCACTGCGACCTATGATTGGCCAAGGAGTGTGGGATTCAGCCCTGCCCAGTCAGCAGGATCCCAACCTCCTTCTATCTCACGCTCCTCCATACTGGGACTGTGGCCTCTCCCCGCGGTCCAAGAGCACTGCCACCACCAGAGGGAGCCAGAAAGAGGGCACCTGCCTTTAAGGATAGGACCCCTGTGGTTGCACCAGGGCCTCAGTGGCCAGAGCTTAGTCAGGTGACCACAGTCAGAGCAATGAGGTTAGGAAATGTAACCATTGTGTCTAGCTAAAAATTCTATTACTATAAAATTGTGCTCCTTTACCCCTGCTGATAGACTATAAAGTTGATAGAGGAAAATATTTAATGGCCTAGAGCAGCCATGGGCAAACTACGGCCCGCGGGCCGGATCCGGCCCGTTTGAAATGAATAAAACTAAAAAAAAAAAAAAGACCATACCCTTTTATGTAATGATGTTTACTTTGAATTTATATTAGTTCACACAAACACTCCATCCATGCTTTTGTTCCGGCCCTCCGGTCCAGTTTAAGAACCCATTGTGGCCCTCGAGTCAAAAAGTTTGCCCACCCCTGGCCTAGAGGCAGAAAAGGATTTAATTTATTTTTATTTTTATTTTTTAGAGAGGGAAGAGGAAGAGAGAGAGAGACATTTATGTGAGAGAGAGACATCAATCCGTTGCCTGCCACTGTTGGTACCCCAACTAGGGATTGAACCCACAACCTGGGCATGTGCCATGACCAGGAAGTGCACAGGATGACATTCAAGCAACTGAGTCACACCAGCCAGGACTTCTTCAATAAAACTTAAAAGGAACAAATTATGAAGAAAATAAATTTGGTTATATCAAAAATTTGTTCGAGGAAGGACATGAGCAAATATAATAGGTTCAGAATGGGAGGAAATATTTGCAAAGTATAACACCTTGTAAGATTTTTTTAACAAGAAAAAGAACAACCCTAGTAGAAAAATGGTCAAAGGCTGTAAACAGGTAACTTATGGAAGAAAAACCCAAAGGCCAACAAGAGTGCACAGGTGCTCAAACTCATTAGTAATCATAGAGAGGCAGCTTCCATCACTAAGCTGACCCTTGAGCAACACGGGTTTGAACTGCATGGGTTCCCTTATATGTGGACTTTTTCTCATAAATACCTCTACTGCTTTCGATCCCCCGTTGAGAGTCTGAGGATGTGGAGAGCCGACCATGCATTGAGCTAAGTCTTTTTACATAGGGGACTTGAGCATCTGTGGATTTTGATATTTTCTGGGGGTCCTGGAACTAATTCCCTATACATACCAAAGGGACAAGTTAAGTTTGGGGGAAGTCAGAAGTTATACATGGATTTTAAACTGCAGAAATAAGGGGGTTGACACCCCTAAGCCCCACATTGTTCAAGGGTTAACTGTATTGCACATTAGTATTTCCCAGTAATTCAGCTCCTGGCTGACTTACCAACGAAATCTCACTTGGGACCATGTAGGAGCGAGCCTGAGGATGTTCACTGCAGCAGGACGGATGGGATGGGAGCTGGAGGCAGCCTGGGTGTCCACCCCAGTGAGTGAGTGAGACACCAAGGGGTGCAGCCGGTAGGACCATGTATGCCCGAGGGGGGGTGGGAGCCAAACCAGTTATGGAAAAGTAAAATTAAGAGCTATATTGCCAGACAAGGTGTATGAATTACAAATTGTGGACATAAAACAATCATTTTGCAAGACCGAAAAAGAGACTCATTTATATATTACAATGGCTCCCAATGGGAAGCAAGGGAGGAGGATAAAGGTAAAGAATAAACAAGAGATTGGTCTTGGAGGTGTAAAGGCCTCAAAGGCAATGCTGAAGATCTGTTCTATAAGCAAGGGCAACCCCATTAGTGTGGATTGGGGCCCAGGTACTGGTATTTAAAATGGAAATTATCCAGATGATTCTAACACACAGCCAGGATTCAGAATGCGAAGATGGCAGTTTGTCACTGTTGACCTCAAGCCTCATGTCTACCTCTTGCCAACACCTCACACCTTCTCAGGGAACATTTCGCAGATGTGGAGACTGAGGTCCCCAGAAGGGAAGGGCCTGCCCAGGGTGACAGGGCTTAGGAAGGCCAAACCTAAACTCTTTTTATTTATTTTTAATACATATTTTTATTGATTTCAGAGAGGAAGAAAGAGGGAGAGAGATAGAAACATCAATGATGAGGGAGAATCATTGATTGGCTGCCTCCTGCACGCCCCCCACTGGGGATCAATCCCACAACCCAGGCATGCGCCCTTGACTGGAACCGAACCTGCGACTCATCAGTCTTCAGGCCGACACTCTATCCACTGACCCAAACAGGCGAGGGCCACACATGCCTTTTTGAAGGGCTGTCACTACTCAGGCCACTGTGGCCTTATGAGAATTTGGCCCCACAATGCTAAATGTTCTGATTTTTCTCCAGAAATCCTCATGTTCATGGAAAAGCTCTTGAATCTAAAAGATAGGCAACTCACTCGAAACATTTAACAATATTGTATGGACCAAGCAAAATCAAGATCATAGCTAATATTCATCAAGATCTTACTGTGGCCCTGGCCAGGTAGCTTAGTTGGTTAGAGTGTCGTCCCCATACCCCAAAGTTGTGGGTTTCCCTCGTCAGGGCACATACGAGAAACAACCAATGAATCCGTAAGTAAGTGGAACAACAAATAAGTGCTTCTCTCTCTCTCTCAAATCAATAACTAAAGCCCTGGCTGGCGTGGCTCGGTTAAGCGCCATCCCACGCACCAAAAGGTTGCTGGTTTGATTCCCAGTCAGGGCACATGCCCAGGTTGCAGGTTCCAGCCCCAGTAGGGGACGTGCAGGAGACAGCCGATGGATGTTTCTCTCATTGATGTTTCTTTCTCTCCCTCTCCCATCTTCTCTCTCTCTAAAGTTAATAAAAACATTTTAAAAAATGAAAATATATCTTCTTAAGCTCCTAATTGTTTGACCTCACTTAATCTTTAGTGAGTTGAATGCCACTCTCCTGCCCCCATCCCACCCTTCACCCCCCACCCGCCACCAAAAGACATGTCCCTGCAGAACCTATTAATGTGCCCTTATTTGGAAAAAGGGTCTTTGTAGATGCAGTTAAGGATCTTGAGATGAGATCATTCTGGTTTGTCTGGGTGGGACCTAAATCCAGTGACATCTGACACAGAGGAGAAGGCCGTGTGAAGAGGCGGAGAGCGGAGTGATGAGGCGCCAGCCACCCCACACCCCCACCACCAGGCTTCAGGGAGAGCATGGCCGTGCTGACACTGATTTCAGGCTCTGGCCTCCAGAACTTGAGCAGAATACATTTTCTGCTATTTTCAGCATCCAAGTTTGTGGTAATTTCTTACGCAGCCACAGGAAACTAATACAACCCTCCTAGCAGCCCTCTCAGGAAGCACCTCCCTCACCCCATTTTACAGCTAGAAGACTGAGGACAGAGGCACGAAGCCACCAACCAGGTCACACAGCACGAAAGGGGTAGAGGCTGAGTTTGAACCCAGGCACTTAGCCTGGGAGTCCCTCCACGAGATCATCACGCCACAGCCTCCCGAAGAACTTCTGAGCCTGAGGGACCACGTGTCAACCTCTGTCTTCCTGTGTGGTCAGTCAACTCAACTAGGGCCAGACCCCAACAAGGGACTCTGGAAGAAAGATGGTTGCTCAAGGAGAAAGCCTGGGGCTGAGAGATGTTTGGGCTGGGGGATGAGATGAAGAGCAAATAGAGTCCTGGCCCGCCAGTTTGGGGAGGTGTGGACAGCTCAGAGCCTTTTCCCTGGAAGACTAGAGGCA